GCGCACCGCGCTGATCCGATGGCAGGAACCAGGAGCCAGGTGCTTTTCCTGGTCTCCCATGGGGTGCAGGGCCCAAGCACCTGGGCCATCCTCCACTGCACTCCCTGGCCACAGCAGAGGGCTGGCCTGGAAGAGGGGCAACCGGGACAGAATCCGGCGCCCCGACCGGGACTAGAACCTGGTGTGCCGGCGCCGCTAGGCGGAGGATTAGCCTAGTGAGCCGCGGCGCCGGCCCCTTGTTTGTTTTTTAAGATTTATTTATTTATTTATTCGAAAGGCAGAGTGACAGAGAGAGAGAGAGAGAGAGAGAGAGAGAGAGAGATATCTTTCATCTGCTGGCTCACTCCTCAAATAGCCACAGTGGCAGGAGCTGAGTCAGGCTGTAGCCAGGAGCCAGAAACTCCATCCTGGTCTCCCACCTGGGTGCATCATCTGCTGCTTTCCCAGGTGCATTAGCTGGGAGCTGAATTCCCAGCAGGGCAGCCAGGACTTCCAGAAGGGGTGCTGGCCGGGCACGTGGCAGCTTAACCTGCTGCACCACAGCATGGGACCCTAGTGCTTGGTTTGAGGCTGCAGAGGCAACGGTGGAAGCAGGGGTGGAACCCCAGGCCAGGGGTCAGGACTCACTACTAGCGGCAAAGGCTGGGACTGTAACAGAAGAGGAGGCTTCGCTTTCTCTAAAACAGAGCTGTGGGGAGCGACACCCCTCCCCCACTGGATGTGGCCCGAGGGAAGTCTCTGGCTGCTCCCTACCCTCCCCAGGCACAGAGACAGCATCCACAGCAGCGGCTCCGGTGACAGCAGTCTGAGGTCCTCTGGCTGAGTGGACCTGTTCCTGGGCTTCCCCAGGAGGAACTGGCCTTCCTGTGGCAGAGAAAAGCCCATCTTCCCCCACCCCAGGGATGCCCACAGCACAGGTGTCGGTCGGGAACCATCGGGAAAGCTCTGCCTGGGGCAGGGGCTGGGAAAGCAGCCGGGGTGCGGGGAGAGGCCTGGGAGAGCCGACCCCCACAACCAGGGGCCGGCGGGAAGTGAGGGCGGGCGGGCCTGGATCTGGGGGCCCCTCCCCACTGCGGGCAGCCGGGTCGGGGCTGGGGCGTGACAACGAATTCTCCCCGCCGCCACCACTGCCACCGCCGCCCGCGGCTGCAATAAGAGAAGTCCGAGGCGGCTTCCTCCTCCCTTGTCCAGAGGGGGCGGCGGGCAGAGGCGGGCAGCACCCCAGCCCTCGCCCACGTCGGCACTCGTAGCTGCGTGAGCCCCGGCTGGCTCGCCGGGGGCTGGCGGAATCAGGCTCCCCTGGCACCAGGTAGGTCTGGCCGCGGCAGGTGGGGGCTGGGACAGGTCTGGGAGAGGAGGGGGCGGGCTGGAGGCAGTAGGGACACTTGAACTTAGACAAGCTACAGAAGTTGAAGGCCAAGGGAACCTCACCTCGAAAAGGGCTGAGGGGGGAAACCGCAGAGACCTGGGAGTAACCTGCGGGGCAGGGCCCGGGGCATCTGGGAACCCCCAAGGCGGGGTCTGGCGGGGAGGCGGAGTGGGGGCCTGGAGGGTGCGATTTGGAACGCGGGGTGAGAGTCGGGGGAGGCCTGGGGTAGAGAGTGCGGGGACTCTGAAAATGCAGCATTTGGGAAGGAGTTCCGTGGGGTGCGGGGACATTCGAGAAGAGGGTCAGGGAGAGCGAGTTCTGGCCCGCGCAGTTTAACGGGGCCATTCAGGGGCCCAGTAAGTACCCTCTGTTCCGCATCGTCAGAAGTCGGGGGTCAAGCCTAGGCCCGCAGGCCTGCGGCCCCCAGACCTGCCCGCCCCCGCACTGGTGGGCGCCAGGGGCCGGCCGCAGGGACTCCTGCAGGGCGCTTCCTGGGGAAGTCCCCGCCCTCCGCAGGGACGGCCTCTCCCGGCGCCCCCTCCCCGCCAGCGGCGGCGGCCTCGGTCCGCGTTCCTCTCGGGATCCGGGAATTGCTGGCCGCCCCGACGGAAATCCTGCCTTTGACCGCGAAGGCGCGGAGGGGCTGTGTCCATGGCAACCAGAGGGCGGAGAGGCGAGCTGGGCTCTGGCTGCTTCGGGGCTGGTGGCCGGCGCAGCCCCCCACCCCCACCCCGGGGGCCCGGTCTTTGCTGCAATTTGGAGTCCTTATCTTGGGAGGGGTGCGGGACAGAGGAGGGGGTGCTGATGTTCCATGATCTGGGATCCTGGAGTGGGGGGCTCTTAGCAAGACTATGTCCTCAGTTGCTGTGTGACTGTTGCAGGTCAGGCTTCTCTGGGCCGCCTCCTTCTGTTTGAGCTATGGAGATAGAAGCTGGCTACACCTGCCTGCTGGCCCCGGGTGAGACCCTGGCCTGCAATGCGGGTTTTGCTGAGGGTCCTGGAGGGGGTAAGGGGCTCTGTCCTTTGCCTTCTCAAAAACATGGAGGGGGACAAGAGAGGGACCCACACACAGAGGGCACCTAACAAACAGATGTCCTACATCTCTTGTAGGACCCATGCTGGGGAGATCAGCAGGGGTGAGATCTGTCCCCCACCTTTCTTGGTGCCACACCCAGGTGGCCACCCCTCCAGTCAGTGGTTTTTTCAGGGATCCTGAGGCCTTTGGCACCTTTTCATCTGTGCTGGGGATGGGAAAGCAGGCTGCTAACCCCACTTCACAGATGGGGAGAGGGAGGTTTGGGAGTCGGTGACTGGCAGGACCCACAGTAGGGACCAACAGTCCAGGGCACCTTGCCTCTGAGCCACCCCGCCCCCCAATCTCATCCCTACCCAATCTCTCAGAGCCCCCTGGAGAGGGAAGAGGTACATGGGGGAGGAGGTTGGGGGTCCTTGGGCTCCTCCACCAGCTCCTGCTCCCCAGTGGGTGTGAAGCAGTGAGCGTGGGCGAGAGAGAGAGAGAGAGAGAGAGAGAGAGAGAGAGAGAGAGAATGTGCGTGTGGTTTGGGCTTTGGGTGAATGCGTGTGAGCCTGTGAGCATCTGTGTGTGCACTGGGTTTCCTCTGCACCCACCTGGGGCTGGTGTGGTGAGGGAAATGGCCTGACCTTCGGAGTTTGGGGAAGGATGAGCCAGGGTGCACTCCCACCCTTGGGCTGCCCAAGGTGGGAGAGGGCCCGATGCCCCACCCTGCAGGACCTGGGAGGGGGCTTCCGGTCTGCCACACTGTGGAACCCGGACTCCTCTGCCCTCAGCTGCCCCTGGGCACGGAGCCAGCTCCTGAAAATGCTGAAGCCCAGGCCAAGCAAGTGGCACTGGGAGCCCTGTGCAGAGGCTGGCGTGGGTGGTTCAGTGCAGGTAGGAAACCACAGTACTGCTGAGAAGCGGTGCCCTCGGGAGCCAGCTAGGGCCGACGGGCCGGCACCCGGGGTGCGGGGTGGATGCCCGCAGCCACGGCTCTGGTCTTGGCGAGGGGCCCAATGGCACTGGGACTCACCTGCCGACCTTAGCCTTTCCCCTGCCCCACCCCTGCCCGGCCGGAGCCTTGAGGAGAAGCCGGAACTCTTGCAGGATGGTGGTTTCCGGCTGCTGCCCAGAGTCCCAGTTCCCTTTTGGTGAAATCCCCCATGCGTGGTTGAGGCCAGCCCAGCCCTCCCACCTCGCCTGGGAACTTCTCTTTCTTCTCCGCTCTGCCCAGCCCCGTGCCCTCAGCTGCCTCCCCCTACTGTGGAGGGTCTTCCTCAAAGGAAAGGAGGGGAGTGAACCTTCACTGAGCACCTACTGTGTGCCTGATGCTTTGGGGGCTTGACTGCATTTGAAGCAACCCCTTGAGGGAAAGATCTGCATTCCTGTTTTTTAGGTAGAGCATTGACAGCTGAGGGAGCTGCACGCATGCTCTTTCTCGGGCAGGGGAGAATTTCAGCCTGAATCTGTCTCTGGATCTCACAGATACTAGGCTGGGGGTGGAGGGGCACCCAAGAAGATCCCGTTTCTACCTCAAAGCCCTGATGTGGCTTTGGGAAGTGTGGACCTCAAGAAATGATGGGTGGGCGTGGGTCTTCCTACCAGGAGTAGGGGCAGGGCCGGTTCCCTGGTGGGTGGTCAGCTACCTCATGACAGGGGTGGTGTGTTCCGTTGGCCAGGGACTATGTAGAAAGCAGGACAGGCACCAGTCAGAGACAGCACGGTCTGGCTGCTCAGGCTCCTCAGGCTTTGGAGAATGTCGCAACAGCCCTGGGAACAGAGCTTTGGACCTGAATAAATAGCCCTGACTTTGAATTCCCTGTTTGGCTGTGTGACTTTGGGCAAGTCACTTCCCCCCTACATAGGAGCAGGTGGGGGATGGGTGATAAATGGTCCCTGGGAGCCAAATTAGCTTTGCTGCTTGTGGTTCTCAACTTCACAGGGCTACTGCACGCCCGGCAAGAAGCTCATCTCCTCGAGCCCTGCCAGCAGCTCCGCACAGAGGGGCAGGTGCAGAGACTGATGTCCTTCATGCAAGGTCACTACTGAGCAGAGCAGGGCAGGGCCACACAGCAGCAAGTGCTGGACGTGGGAGCAGCACGGTCCAAGGCCAGGACCTCAGTTCTGATACCCATGACCTGCTGTTGGCCCTGATGGGGCTCAGAGAGCTGACTCCCACCAAGTAGATGTTCAAGGGGCATATTCAGGGCGAGGGCATTGTGGCACGGTGGGTTAAGCCTCTGCTTCCAATGCTGACATCCCATATCCAAACGCTGGGGTTGCTCTGCTTCCGATCCAGCTCCCTGCTAATGTGCCTGAAAAGGCAGCGGAAGATGGCTCAAGCGCCTGTACCCCTGCCACCCACATAGATGGAGTTTCTGGCTCCTGGCCCAGCCCTGGCTGTTGTGGACATTTGGGGAGTGAGCCAGCAGGTGGAAGACCTGTCTCTATCACTCTGATGCTCAATGTAAATAAATAAATCTTTTTTTTTTTTTTAAAGAGCCATTGTGCACAGCCCAAGTTCCCGCAGTGTCCAGAATGCTTGTGGTCACTCTGGGCTGCTACTCCCTTTCTGGTCTTAGAAGTCTGGTACTGAGAAAAGATAGAAGTGGCTTCAGATTCAGTGACTGAGGGTATGTGGGCAGATCTCCTTCTCTCTCTGGGCTGAAAGGAAATTTCGAGTGTGTAACACCTGGCCTGGTGCACAGTAGGTGTTTATGAAGAAACACTCATCAGTGCTTCTACGAGGGCTACAAAATAGAACAGTGCTCAAGGCAGGCTTTGGAGCCAAATGGATTAGCATTGTGTTTTAGCTTCCTTCACTTGCCCTGCCATCTTCAGCGAATAACTTAGCATCCCTGTGCCTCAGCGTCCTCATCTGTAAAACAGGACTAAAAGTGAAGCCTCCCTCTCAGGGTCACTGAGTGAGATTACGCCTGGAAATTGCCTGGTATGATGCCAGCCACTGTGTAAATGTTTAATAAACGAGCACATTTGTTACTAGTCTTTACTGCCACCCCAACTTCTAGGATGCCCAATTACTCCCCACAGAGTGGGAGGCACAGGGCTGGAACCAGCCTGGGGAGGATGTGGAGTCCTGGGGCTATGGCCACCAGACGCAGGCGGCTGAGCAGAGAGGCCGCAAGCTGCCCCCTCTCTTTTTGCCTGTTTGGCTCTTTAGCTCTCTTCGCTGCATCTCGACCTTTCTCTTCTGCTCCTGCCTCTTTCAGTGCCTCTGCCTCTCCTCTTCACCTTGCATTTTCGTCGCTGTGTCTCTTTGTTTCTTTCTGGCAGTGCTGCAGACGGTGGAGCCAACTAATGCTGGCTCAGGTTGGTCCCGCACATCTCCCAAGCCAGCATTCAGGAAGCCACTCCAGGAGCTTTAAATCAGCCGCAGGAGGAATATCTACACCACGGACATCAGCAAGTGGTGCAAATCAGGATTTTCTCATTTGAGATTCAGTTTATCAGCACACCATACTCTCTCTCTCTCTCTCTCTCTCTCTCTCTCACATCCCTCTGTCTTTATGCCTCTATTACTGTCTCTTCCTCTTTGTCTCTCTTATCTCTCAATTTCTCTTTCTCTCTCTCTCCCTGTTTTTGAGAGATACCACATATACATACCCGAGCCATCACCTGCTACCTCCCAGGGTGTGTACTAGCTGAAAGCTGGAATCCATAGCAGGGCCCCAGGTCTTAAGCCCAGGTGCCCCAGTGTGGGATGCAGGCAACCCAAGTTGCTTCTTAACCAGTGGATGAAATGCCCATGCCACTCCTGCCTCTCCTGTCTCCTCATGTCTTTTTCTCTTCTGACAAAATCCTGTGAACCAGGTCACATTCAGTGTGGCCCTTCACTGCCTTGGGCCGTGCAGACCCCCAGACCCTGGCCCCATGTCCCCTGATGCCCTCAGCATTCCTGTCCCCGGAGAGCCAGGCCCAGCTGGGGCTTTGGTCCTCATCAAGCCTGGAAGTGACAAAGCTCTGACAGCTGCCACCTCTGTCTGCCGCCCACACCGTCAGCGCTGCCAGGGCTCTCCTCGGCCCACAGAGCTTTCTGCCTCCTTGCCCAGGGCTGACAGTCTCTGAACACCATTCAGAGCAGGTCTGAGAGAAAGCCAGACTCTAGACTGATAGGGATACATTGTGGCAATGTGCACTTGGGAGGTAGCAACATTGTATCTGCATGTGGGGGAGGGGTGGACCTGTGGATCACCTGCAGAGCAGAGCCCCACAGTGGGTCTGAGCGCCAGCCCAGGGCTGAGCTGTGGCTGCCACTGTCCCTGTCTGACAGGCAAGGCAGAGAAGGGTGGCTGGGCGCTGTGATGTGGGAACAAAATGCTAGGATACATCATTCTGTGTGGCACTGGGCAAGTTTCTAAACTTTTCTGTGCCTCAGTTGTCTCATCAACAATAATCCTTGAATCCCAGAGCTCTGATGAGGATCCCAAGAGGTGTTTTAGGTCAGGGGCTTCACAGAGCTGCTGCCACCTCTTCAGCTCTCCATCCCGTATTTGCAAGTGGACAGAGCTGGGACTGGGCAGCTATGGGGAGGGTGTCCTCAGCACAGAGGGACCCGGGCTTTCTATGGAGGGGCTTGGGCAGCCCAGGGAGTGGGGAGGCCCAAGAATGGGTCAGGAGTGCTGTGCAGATCTGGGGTCAGCCCTGGTCACCGGCTTTTCTCACAGACCCAGAAATCCCTTCAGCTGGGCCCAGATGTCCCTTCTGGGCCCCCTCTGTTCTCTCTCCCGACCCTCACCGGCACTGCAGCTGCCTGGGGCCCATTCAGACAATTGGCTTCACCCAGGGGAGGGTCCTGGGGGAAGGATGTGAGCCCAGGCCTGGTGACAGGGGCTATTTTAAGGGTGGCCTCCACCGCAGCCTGCCTCACAGTTTACCACATGGGTGTCACCCTCTCTCCCCAAAAACACACACCAGAGAACAGTTACCGTGGAGGGTGATTGGGCTGATGGGACTTGGGTGAGGTCAAGGCAATGATGTGACAGAGCCATGGGCCAGGAAACTGGACGTGGTAGATCCAGGAAGACTTCTTGGAAGAGGTGAGTGGTTCTGGTAGGGAGGTTAGGACTCAGAGAGAGGAAGAGAGAAAGAGAGTGATGTCCACCAGGAAGCTTCCTGGGGGTCCAGAGAGGGAATCTGGGGGTTCCTGTACCCAGGACCTTCAGGCCCCTCTGGGGGAAATCAGAGTTCATTAGGGAGGCCCCACCCTAACTCTGCATTCCTCCCATGTCTTAGGAAACCAAGCCCAGTCCCCGGCCAGTTCCTCTCTGAGTGGTGCAATGGCAGTTTCTGTGTGGGGGTGGGGACCCCTTGCTCAATGACCTCCCTGCCTGTTGCTCAGAGGACTCAGCTGCCTAAGAAGGCTTGGCGCATGGTGGGGGGCCTGCCCAAGGGACTCTGGTGGCCCCAGCTTTGGGCTGGGCCTCTCCCTGATGTGGGGATCAAAGCAGAGCTCCGCAGTAGGTACCTGCTGCCCCTCTGTGACCAGAGGCGACCCTGGGGCTGCTGTGGGGAGGGGTCGCACAGCTCAGGCTGGGGCAGAGGCGGAGCTTGTGGGGGAGGGGTTTGTGTTTGTGAGACAGTAGCTGGGGGGCCTCTGTGTGAGCTGAGCCTGGCCCCTGGAGGAAACCCACTTGGAGATGGGCCCAATGCAAAAGCAGGAGTGTGGCAGGGCAAGAATGCCCTGCAGAGAGGCAGCTGAACGCATATGCGTGTCCACGTAGACAGGCCGTGTAGGTGTATTTGTGAACACGTGTGTGCGCCGTGTGTCTCAGCCAGGCTCATGCGAGTCTGTGTCGGGGTGTGCTCATGTGTCAGGTGTTAGGTGGGCATGAGTGTGGGAGTGGGTGTGGAGTTGTCCCACGTGGGGCGATGTGTAAGTGTGCAGGTGTGGTGGGGAGGAAAAGGGGGGCAGAAGTCACGCTGCTGGGCAGGGCAGTCCGCAACTGTTTCCGGCCTCCCCTCAGGTCCCCCGACCTTCCCAAGGATCATGGCGCAGCCCCACTGACCCAGGAGTAGAGGCCTTCGGGGTGAGTGTGGCGGGGAGGACTGGGGGTTTTTGGGGTCAGGAAATGGGCTGGGGGTGGCCTTCCTGGGCCTTGCAGCTCCTCACAGCCCCCTCCTCCCACAAGGCCTGTTGCTAGGTAACGGATGGGGGAGCCAGAAAGAGGCAGCTTGAGAGGCCTGAGGCTGGACCCACGACAGGAAATGGCCTTGATCCCCCTCTGCAGGGAGCCTCCAGGTGCAGGCACACAGCCCTCACACGCACCCCCGCACACCGCTGTGCAGATTCATGCACGTACGCACACAAAGACACACAGAGACAGGCATACACACAGGCACATGTGCTCTCCCCACAGAGCCATGGACCCTGTCACAGACAGCGACACCTTCTCACACAGACCTGCACATGTTCACACACACACACACACACACACACACATACTGAGACAGGCACACCAGCACAGACGTGCACACACGCAGCCAAACACAGGTGCCGAGACACATACACGAATTCACACACACACACACACACCTGCACATGCACACACACATTTGCAAGGAGCTACACACATACAAGCAAGCTACACACAGACACAGGGACACAAGCACCCTGAGGGATTCACAGCGATGGGAGGCGAAAATATGAAAGAGCCATAGCAACACCCTGATGTGGAAAACCAGCCTGGAGGAGTGGGCTTGAGCCACTGGCTATCTCCAAACATGCCCCGGCCACTGGCCGGTGGAGCTGGCTGGCGGGGGGGGGGGCATACCTGGGCCACCCTCACCTTCACAAGGGGGGACCTCAACCCAGGGGAAGCCATGTGCCTGTATGAGAGTGTGCACAGGAGTGTGCATGCCAGCTCTGTGCAGGGACCCCTTGGTGAGGCACGCCCCCTTGTGTAGCAGGGCACCTGGAATGGGCTGTGTGTTCTGCAAGAAGCTGGAGCCGGGGCCCAAGGAGGATGTGGGCCTGGAAGGAAACTTCAGGGCCTCTGGGGCTGCCGACCGCTATGGCCCTGACCCCACCCAGGGCCGGCCGGCCTCCTCCTTTGCACACATCCCCAACTACAACAACTTTACCCCTCAGCCCTCCAGCCACACCTTCCTTGGTGGGGGCACCGTCAAGGGCATCTCAGGTGAGTGCAGGGGGTTGGGGGCAGGTGCGGCCTGGATCTGGGGAGAACTCGGGAGAAGGGGAGACTTGGACTTGACCCCAGGGAGCCTCCAGAACCAGTGTAAGAGCAGCCCTATTTCCATGACTGCACAGGCTGGATTGGGGAGCCTGTGCAGCCTCCTCCTGGGAGCCCTCCGAGGTGGGGGATACAGCTGTGCTCTCAGGCTGGGGGGGACCTGGTAGCAGGTACAAATGGGAAAGGGACCCTTCTGGGCCACTTGAGTGCCACTTTGCAGTTAGGAAGTCTTGGCAGGAAGAAGAGGAATGAGCAACATGGAGGACCCCCAGGTCCTGAATCCTCCAGGGGCCAAGTCAGAAACCCACAGGGCACCAGTGGTCCGTGGGTTCTGGGGCATTGCAGCAATGGGCTGGGGAATGGGTTCTGGGGGTTCAGCCCCATTGGCGCCGCTGTCCTGTGCCCTTCTCGGCTGAGTGGTCCTGGCTCCACAGGCTCTGGGGTGACCCTGTTCATTGCCCTGTATGACTATGAGGCCCGGACAGAAGATGACCTCACCTTCACCAAGGGCGAGAAGTTCCACATCCTGAACAACACGTAAGTGACCAAGCCACCCAGCTGCTGTGGGGCCTGTGCTGGAGTCTCACCCATTTCCCATGCTCAGAAAGCGCCAGGCTGCTTGAAGACACATAAATGACAGCCTGAGCAATGGCTATGACATGGGGTGGGGGAGCATAAGGAACAATGGGTACATGACCTAAACAGGGTCCCCAAGGCAGCGGTGATCAGGGCGGGCTTCCTGGAGAAGGTGATTTTAGGTTGCGACTCCAAAAATGAAGAGCCAGTGAAGGCACAGATGAGAAAAGAGGAAGAGGGTGAGAGAGACCATGGAGTGGTTTGTTCTGTCCAGATGAATCATGAAGTGCAGGATGCGGGTGGAGCGCGCAGAAGCCGGGGAGCAGGTAGGCGCAGGGGCTGCAAGGTGTGTGAAGCCCTGCTGAGGAGTCGGGATTTTATCCAGAAGGAAGAGGGTGAGTTCTTGAAAAAGTTCATGGAAAAGGTGTCCTGTGAAAAAAACTATGGGAGCTGGCGCTGTGGCGCAGCAGATTAAGCCGCTGCCTGCAGCACCAGTATCCCATGTGGGCACTGGTTCAAGTCCCAGCTGCTCCACTTCCCATCCAGCTCCCTGCTAATGTACCTGGGAAAGCAGCAGAAAATGGCCCAAGTGCTTGGACCCCTGCACCCACCTGGGAGACCCAGAAGCTCCTGGCTTCAGCCTGGCCCAGTGAACCAGCAAATGGAAGATCTCTCTCTCTCTCTCTCTCTGCTTCTCCCTCTCTAACTTTGAGTTTCAAATAAAATAAATCTTTTTAAAAAACCTGTGAATGAATTTCAATTTTTTGAATCAAAATAACTTTTTTTTTTTTTTTGGACAGGCAGAGTGGACAGTGAGAGAGAGAGACAGAGAGAAAGGTCTTCCTTTGCCGTTGGTTCACCCTCCAATGGCCGCCGCGGCTGGCGCGCACCGCGCTGATCTGATGGCAGGAGCCAGGTACTTATCCTGGTCTCCCATGGGGTGCAGGGTCCAAGCACTTGGGCCATCCTCCACTGCACTCCCTGGCCACAGCAGAGAGCTGACCTGGAAGAGGGGCAACCGGGACAGAATCCGGTGCCCCGACTGCGACTAGAACCCGGTGTGCCGGCGCCGCAAGGCGGAGGATTAGCCTAGTGAGCCACGGCACTGGCCCAAAATAACTTTTTATATATTATATTTAAGAAGACTTATTTGACTTATTTGAAAAAGTGAGAGAGAGAGAGAGAGAGAGAGAGAGAGAGAGAGAGAGAGATCCTCCATCCACAGATTTGCTCCCTAAATGGTTGTAATGGTTGGGCTGGGCCAGGCCAAAGCCAGGAGCCTGGAACTCCACCTGGGTCTCTAACATGGGTAGCAGGAACCCAAGCACTTGACCAGCTGCTGCTGCTATCCCAGGTACGTTAACAGGGAGCTCGATTATAAGTAGAGCAATTGGGACTCCAACGAGCACTCACATGGGATGCTGACATTGCAGGTGGCAGCTTAACCCAGTGTGCTGTAACACTGGCCCCTAAACTTATCTTTTAATTTAATTTTTCCTTGAACTTTAAAATTTTTATTCATTTATGTATTTATTTTTGCAAGAGAGACAGACAGAGGTGGTTCACTTTCCCTCTATCTCTCTCTTTTAAACATTTTATTATTAAACTACAGTTAACATACCAAAAAGTGAACTTAAGTGTACAGATCAGTGAGTTTTTTTTGTTGTTGTTATATGATTACCCTCATAACCATCATGGTTCACTTTTTTTTGACAGGCAGAGTGGACAGTGAGAGAGAGAGAGAGACAGGGAGAAAGGTCTTCCTTTTGCCATTGGTTCACCCTCCAATGGCCACCGCGGCTGGCGCATCACGCTGATCTGAAGCCAGGAGCCAGGTGCTTCTCCTGGTCTCCCATGTGAGTGCAAGGCCCAAGGACTTGGGCCATCCTCCACTGCACTCCCTGGCCATAGCAGAGAGCTGGCCTGGGGCAACCGGGACAGAATCCGGCACCCTGACCGGGACTAGAACCTGGTGTGCCAGCGCCGCAGGTGGAGGATTAGCCTATTGAGCCATGGCGCCGGCCATGGTTCACTTTCCAAACACCCCCAATAGCCAGAGCTGGGCCAGGCCCAAGTTGAGAATTTAGAACACAATCTAGGTCTCCCATATGGGTGGCTAGGGATCCAAGCACTTGAGCCTTCCTGGGAGCTTGCCTTCCAAGGTCTGTGTGAGCAGGAAGCTGGAATGAGGGGTGGAACCAGGACTCTGATGTGAGATGTAGGCATCCCAGCCAGCATTTTATCTGTTAAGCCAAACACCCACCTCCCCCCTACCCCTTGAACTTGAAGTCTCCTTGTATGTAGCCATTGGCAGGTTTCCAGCAGGGAAGAGATGTCATCAGCCGTCCGCTGTGTCCCTGAACCCCAGAAAGAGGCCCAGAGGCCTGGGTGACCCCGCTTGTTTCTTCTGCAGAGAAAGTCCTTGGGGGCAGTGGCCGCTGGGCAGGTTTTGATGTCCGAGGGGAGGGGAGGACCAGGCCAGTCTGCGCCCAGCCTCTGTGTGGCCCTGCCTGGTCCCAGGGTGCCCCAGGGGCTGAGGTTGTCTGACTGCCCCCTGTTCTGTGCCTGCAGTGAAGGAGACTGGTGGGAGGCCCGGTCCCTCAGCTCTGGACAAACTGGCTACATTCCCAGCAATTACGTGGCCCCCGTGGACTCCATCCAGGCTGAAGAGTGAGTGCTGGCTTGGGGGGGGGGGGGGTGCATCCAGACAGGGCCCTGGAGTCTGGACTCCAAGGCTACCTCTCAGGCAAGTCATTGCCCCTCCCCAGCCTGTCTCCTTATTTCTGGCTCTGTGAAGTCATTGAGGGAATGGAAGGAGGTGATGGAGGTCGTGGTTGTGTGGGCAGGCATGCTCACGCTGCAGTACTGCGCTCTGCACAGGAGGTTCCTGCGCAGGAACAGAATCAGAAATTGTTCATGTGCTGTTTTACAAAGGAGGAAGCTGAGGCACAGAGACAGTAAATACCCCGCCCAAGTTCCCAAGGCTGGTGAGTGGCGGGCCGGAATGTGACCCCAGGACACCAGGCTGCGCTGGTCGCCATTACGCATGCTGACAGCAGTGCGGGAGCTTTAGAGCATTCCAGAGTGTTGGAGACCTGCAAAGCAGCCTGAATCCTCTTACTTCCTGCTTGTGGATACCTTCACAGACACCAGTACTCCACCTGCCCCGGGTCCTTTGATTCCCACACGAACATCACTGACAGGACTGTGACCCCCATGTCAGAGATGAGGAAGCTGAGGCTCATAGTCTCTCCTCACCACCTCCTACACATGTTGGGAGAGAGAAGATTCGGGACACTTTGCCGTGTGGCAGTCGTTGGTGGCGGACTGACCTTGGGGAGAGGGAGGAGCCAAGGGGGCTGGACATCTCCTTGGGGAGCAGAGTGGGTGTCAGTGCCATTCAGGTGCCATTCATTCAGACGAGGAATGCAGGGGCCCCAGGGTGGGAGAGGGGGCGCTGGGCTGAAGTTCCCAGAGCTCAGGTTGTGTTTTGTGTGGGAGGCCTGTGTTGAGGCAGACCCAAGGAAGGGGCCCTTTTCCTAACTGTCACCAAGATGCCTCCCTGCCTAGGAGTGGAAGCCGGAGTGAGGGTGACGAGGAAGGCTGCCTGGGAGGGTGACGGAGGAAGGAGGAGAGTGAGGAGGAGACTGGCCTGACCCCAGCTCCGGGGAAAGCAGCCTGCAAGGAGAAGCCCCTGGAGAAGGGAGGGAACCCAGGCCAGGCTGAGCAGAACAGCTCCGAGGGTGCAGGCGAAGTTTCAGGAAATGAGGGGCGGAGCAGAGGCTGCTACTGCATTGGGCAATGGAGGTGACCTTGGTGAGAAGTGAGAGGGAGGTGACGAAGTGGAGAACCAGGTGAGAAGCAGAGGGGGAGGGTACGGCAGGATGTGGGTGACAAGACAGGACTCAGAACAGTTTTCTTGGGTGGAGCAGGACAGACGGGGCCCCTTCGGGCATTGGGGCTGCTTCACGCGGTGGGGACAGGGTCCCTGAGCAGAAGGGCGTGGGCAGGACCAGAGCCCAAGTGCACTGGGGCCTTGGTCTGGGGAGGGAGGTGGAGGCAGCGGGCAGGTGGTTCACGTCTGCATATCCTCTGGGAGGCAGTGTCTCGGAAGCTGGGTTGCACTCAGTGTGGTGCTGTGGTTACGTGAGTGTCATGGTCAAGTGCATAGGCCCTAGAGCTGTAGCTCGGGTTCCTATTCTGGCAACACAGCTTCAGAGCGCCGTGGCCTTGGGCAAGCTGCCTGACCGCTGGGAACCTCAGCTTCCTCATCTGTGTGCTGGGGCCAGCAAGAGCACCCATCTCAAAGTGTGGGTCTGCAAATTGATTGGATGCACGTGGTATTAAGGCAGAGCTCGAAACAAAATAAGTGCTGTTATTATTATATTGCTTATTAAGGAAACCACTAATGTCATAGACGCAGGTGGGGGCAGGGCTGTGAGACAACCTGGGGAGGTGTCCTGTCTCCACTGCCCTTCAACAGCCCCTGATCCCCCTCCTGCCTGTTCTCCTGGCCATGCCACTTGCCAGGGCCTTCTCCTGTTTCCCAAATTCTGCCTAGTACCCAGGTGTGAGCTGACCATCCAGACTTTGGAGATTTCTACCTCCCTTGATTCAAAAACTATGCTCCTTCTAATTCGTCCCAAGATGACCACAGGCCAATGTCATAATTGCAGCACATCTGAGTCTTCTACGCCACCTTTGGTCACTTTGATGGCCACGGTGTACTCACACCGTTTACGGCTGCAGTTTGATGCCAGAAAGAGCCATCAGGTGCCAGCAGGAGGGGTGAGGCCTGAGGTTGATGTTGGGACTGACAATGCTTAAGAGAGTGGAGAAAAAGCAGCCAGCAGATCTGGGCAGGATTGTCAGAGAAGAGTGGAGAGAGGATGCTCTTCTGGAAGCCGGGGAGGACAGGCTAGGAGATGGGGGAAGGGAGGGATCTGAGTGATTGCCTGGAGGGCGGAGGTGGGCAAAGAAGTCAGTTGGGTGGCAAAGGGTTCTAGGTGGGAATCATCGGACAGTCTTACAGGCGGTCACTTCCCCTCTCTGAGCCTCGAGTTCCTCCTCTGTGAGAGTGTGTGAAGGGCCCTAAGGAGAGGGACTCAGGGGCTCAAGACGCCCTGGTGCAGTCACCGGTGACTGGGGTTCTAGCAGCCTCTTTATTTGAAAGGCAGACATCAGACAAAGATCTCCCACCTGCTGAAACCAGCAGCCAGAAGCTCCAGAGCTGGGTCTCCCGTGTGGGGGCAGGGACCCAGGAACTTGAGCCACCACCTGCTGCCTCCCAGGGTGCTCATCAGCAGGAAGTTGGAATTGGGAGCAGAGCCAAGGCTCCAACCCAGGCGCTCAGATACAAGATGCAGGTGTCCCAAGCGGCATTTGAAATGCGTGCCAAGACCTGCTGCTCTCACAAATTTATTTATTTATTTATTTATTTATTTATTGACAAGTAGAGTTATAGACAGTGAGTGAGAGAGAGAGAGAGAAAGAGAAAGGTCTTCTTTCCGTTGGTTCACTCCCCAAATGGCTGCCATGGCCGGTGCTGCGCTGATCCAAAGCCAGGAGCCAGGTGCTTCCTCCTGGTCTCCCATGCAGGTGCAGGGGCCCAAGCACTGGGGCCATTCTCCACTGCCCTCCCGGGCCACAGCAGAGAGCTGGACTGGAAGAGCAACCAGGACTAGAACCTGGCGCCCATATGTGATGCCGGTGCCGCTGCAAGCGGAGGATTAACCAAGTGAGCCATGGTGCCGGCCCCAGCTCTCACAATTTTTAAAAAGACTTATTTATTTATTTATTTATTTATTTATTTATTTATTTTGAAAGGCAGAGTTATGGGGTGAGAGAGAGAGAGAGAGAGAGAGATCCTCCATCACTTTCCAAATGGCTGCAACAGCCAGGGCTGGGCCAGGATGAAGCCAGGAACCAGGATCTTCATCTGGGACTCCCACATGGGTGTCCCAGGCACATTAGCAGGGCACTGGATCAGAAGTGGCTCAGCCAAGACAAGAACCGGCCCAGCATCACAGGCAGCAGCTTAACCCATTACACCACAATGCCGGACCTCAAAATTTTAACTCAAGGGCTGGTGCCGCGGCTTACTAGGCTAATCCTCCGCCTGAGGCGATGGCACCCTGGCTTCTTTCTAGTCCCAGTTGGGGTGCTGGATTCTGTCCTGGTTGCTCCTCTTCTAGTCCAGCTCTCTGCTGTGGCCCGGGAAGGCAGGTGGTTGGGCCCCTGCACTCTCATGGGAGACCGGGAGGAGGCACCTGGCTCCTGGCTTCGGATCAGCGGAGTGCACCGGCTATAGCAGCCATTTGGGAAGTGAACCACCAGAATGAAGACCTTTTAAAAAATTTTTTTAACTCAAGGAAACCCAAAGAGTAGAGACGGGAAAGCTCCCCTTTGTTGGGCACCTGCTATGTGCCAGGGGTTTTCCACGCCCTGCTCTGGGATCTTCACACAGGCTGAGTCCCATTGTACGTGCGAGGAAAGTCTTGGCTGCAGAGGTGACTGCCCAAGGGGCTGGGCTGGGGTCTGCACAGAGTGTCCCTGACTCTCACCTGCCCTTCCCAACAGGTGGTACTTCGGAAAGATCGGGAGGAAGGATGCAGAGAGGCAGCTGCTGTCCCCAGGCAACCCCCAGGGGACCTTCCTCATTCGGGAGAGTGAGACCACCAAAGGTGGGGGCTGCGCCCTGGCAGTGTGGGGAGGGGCCCCCTGCCCCCCAGCCCTGGCCTCTTCCGGCTACCAGACTGGGGAAGACGCCGACAGCACACCTGCAGTGACCCTTTCCCACCCACAGGCGCCTACTCGCTGTCCATCCGTGACTGGGACCAGAGCAGAGGTGATCACGTGAAGCATTATAAGATCCGCAAGCTGGACACGGGTGGCTACTACATCACCACGCGGGCCCAGTTCGACTCAGTGCAGGAGCTGGTGAAGCACTACATGGGTGAGGGCGGGCGCCTCCGGTCGCTGAGCCAGCCCGCTGATGCCCTTGTCCATAGGAGAGACGGAGGCCCAGAGAAGGGAGGGTTCTCCCAAAGCACTCGTGGCCACACCGGGCTCAGGATACTGCTCTGCGGGCTTCACCAGGAAACTGAGGCAGGCATCCCACCATGGCCAAGCAGCGCCCCCTAGCATCTGAGCAGGGAATTGGCCAGTTTCTGGCATCAAGTCCTGAACCCAACAGGAAGTTTAAGCACTGAGCTGCCTTGTATGCCCACCTTCCCCTCCCCACCCCACCCCACTCCTCCCAGCACCAGCAGGGCACTAGGACTGCCCTGTGGCAGGGAGGGAACCACCGTGACAGGGACCACAGCAGGGGATGGCAGAGGCTGTCTGCACTTTGGTGAGACACCCTGGCGGCTGGTCAGGCATGGATGCCCAGGGCAAGGCGGAAGGAGGAGAGTGCTCAGAGGCAGCAGCTGCCACACTCAGGCAGCAGAAGTAGAGCAGAGGCAGAACGGCCCAACCTGGAGGGTTGGCTGGTCGGTCAAGGGCAGGGTGGGGGTCAACGCCCTGCCTGGACTGGTTAGGTCAAGGATGGGCCTCATGTCCATACCTTGTCTGGACTCCCCACCCCTACACCTGTCCTGATCTCACTTTCTCCTTCAAGACCAGCTCCCATGTGAGAGCCCCCAGTCTTTACAGGAAAACCCCTTGTCCTGTAGGGATCTTCTGTCCCCCTGGGGTGCCACGCCCTTCCCTGGGTACATACGTGTTCATTGACTCAGGGCCAGGGGTGCATTCCCTCCTGGCCTGTGCCCTCCTGGGAGGCCTAGTTCTTCATAGTTGGGCACCAGGCACCAGTGGGATGAGGTGGGGGGGGGAGGTGTGGCCCTGGCCCATGGGTAACCTGCAGCCCTCCTCCCTCCAGAGGTGAACGATGGGCTGTGCCACCTGCTCACGGTGGCCTGTGCCACCATGAAGCCGCAGACCCTGGGCCTGGCCAAGGACGCCTGGGAGATCAGCCGTGCCTCCATCGGACTGGAGCGCCGGCTGGGCAGCGGCTGCTTCGGGGATGTGTGGCTGGGTATGGAGATGTGAGGTGCCTTCTGGGGGGGGGGGGGCGTGGGGAAGGCCTGGGCCCGGGGGGAGCAGTCCTGACGCGCTGGGCCGTGGGACAGGCACGTGGAACGGCAGCACAAAGGTGGCGGTGAAGACGCTGAAGCCGGGCACCATGTCCCCGAAGGCCTTCCTGGAGGAGGCGCAGGTCATGAAGCTGCTGCGGCACCACAAGCTGGTGCAGCTGTATGCCGTGGTGTCCGAGGAGCCCATCTACATCGTGACCGAGTTCATGTGCCACGGTGAGGGCGCGCGACACTGGGTGGGGGTCTCTAGGAAGGGGACCAGAACCCTGGTGAGTGAGAGGCCCCTAGGTAAGAGGACAGCAGGCCTGGGAGTGGGGGCGGAGCCTTGGGATGGGGTGTGGGTAGGCGGTGGGTGGGGCTTGAGCTAAGGAAGCCAAGCTCTGTGCTGAGGGAGGGTCTGGGCAGAGTCCGTGAGGGGCGTGTCCAGGAGAGGAAGAGGATCCTGGAGATGTGTCTGGGTGGGTGTCTGAGAGCAGGAGGCGGTGGGCGAGGCCAGCGAGAGGGCTGGGGGTTCCACGGGGGTAACCGGGCGGGTTCAGGAGAGAGGTGGGCCTGGAGCGGGGGTCCTCACTGATTTTCTGGCTTCCTGCCCCCAGGTAGCTTGCTGGAGTTCCTCAAGGACCAGGAGGGCCAGGATTTGAGGCTGCCCCAGTTGGTGGACATGGCAGCCCAGGTACCCTTCAGCTCCCAGACCTCTCTGAAAATCACCGCGCCCTGAAACACCTGGCCAACCCCTGGAAGCGCCACCCAGCCCCTGTGCCAGCGGGGCCACCTGGGGAAGGGCACGACTCCTCCTTGAGTCTCAGTCTCCCCATCTGGAAAGTGGGTCTTGCAAATGGTCCCCTCATCCCTCAAACAGGCCGTGGTCCTGTGAGGTCACGCGAGCTCCTGTCTCTTCACACTTGACCCCCAAGGTAGCTGAGGGCATGGCCTACGTGGAGCGCATGAATTATATCCACCGGGACCTGAGGGCGGCCAACATCCTGGTGGGGGAGCGCCTGGTGTGCAAGATCGCAGACTTCGGTCTGGCCCGTCTCATCGAGGACGACGAGTACAACCCTCGGCAAGGTGCCTGGCCTTGACCCACCCCTCCAGGAGTTCCTGGTGCACCAAGGGGTGGACGTGGGCCCCACATCCTCAGGATCCTTGCCCACCCTGGTTCATCACCCCGGGGACACCCTCATCCTGATCCTTCCAGCCCCAGTGCAGCCACTTCCCAGCCATGTAGCCTGTAAAATGAAAATCCCCAGCCAGCGGCAAGTCTGCAGACCCCTGCCCTGTGCCAGGTGCTGCTAGGAGTCTTCAGTGAGCTACGGCGGGGTGTAGCAGCAGTGCGAACTCCCGCCAAGGGGCTGGCGCCTGAACCCCAGGCCCTCAGCTGTGTGACCCAGGCGAGTCATCTGCCTGCTTTGCCTCCTTTTCCTCATCTGCAAAATGCAGGCAGGGGCAGCATTGCCATCCTGGGGCTTCTGTGAGGGTTAGCGGAGCCACTGTGCACCTGTCCCTGCAACAGGGACAGGCACATCAGAAAGGCTACACGAGTATGGGCTGTGGTTAACCTGAGCATCACTATGAGGCTGACAAAGCACCCAGCACCACACTAGACACACACAAGAGGCCCTAACGAGAGCTGGGTCCTTTCTGCTCTGCCAGGGGCCTGTATGTTCAGGACCCCCAAGATCCCCATGTCATTTCCTTCCTTCCTTCCTTCCTTCCTTCCTTCCTTCCTTCCTTCCTTCCTTCCTCCTCCTCCTCCTCCTCCTCCTCCTCCTCCTCCTCCTCCTTCTTCTTCTTCTTCTTCTTCTTCTTCTTCTCTCTCTCTCTCTCTTGCTTATTTGAAAGGCAGACTGACAGAGAGATTGTCTATCTACTGGTTCACTCCCCAAATGCCCAGAACAACCCCAGGCTGAGGTCAGGCCAAAGCCAGGAGGCTGAAACTTCATCCGGGTCTTCCACATGGCTGGCAGGGCCCCAGGCACTTGAGCCATCACCTGGTGCCTCCCTCCCAGGGCACTGGCAGGGAGTTGTTCCCACGGACCTCCATCACTAGCTTTCCCTCCTCCCTCAACCTCCCAGGGACCAAGTTTCCCATCAAGTGGACGGCTCCAGAGGCGGCCCTCTTCGGCAAGTTCACCATCAAGTCAGATGTGTGGTCCTTTGGGATCTTGCTCACCGAGCTCATCAGCAAGGGCCGAGTCCCATACCCAGGTTTGGTGGGGAGGGGGCCGGGGACGGGCTTCCTCCAGGCCGCCCCTTCGGGAGGGAGCAGGCCCTCTGACCGATGGAGCCCACCTTTCAGGTATGAATAACCGGGAAGTGCTGGAGCAGGTGGAGCACGGCTACCACATGCCGTGTCCCCCAGGCTGCCCCGAGTCCCTGTACGAGATCATGGAGCAGACCTGGCGGCTGGACCCGGAGGAGAGACCCACCTTCGAGTACCTGCAGTCCTTCCTGGAGGACTACTTCACCTCCACAGAACCGCAGTACCAGCCCGGGGACCAGCCCTAGCCTGCCAGGGTGTCGGGCGCCCTCTGGGGATGCCCATCACCCCTTGCCGGTCCCCAGGACTCTGACCCTGAGCCCCCCCAGGCTGTGAGCAGATGCAGGTGCTGTGACGCTGGCCAGGGCAACCCAGATGGGGCACATGGGGGCTCCGAGCCCTACCCTCACCCATTCTGACCCCAAGCACTGCTTCTGCCCTTTCCCACTTAGGCCCCCTGCATGCCTCTAGCCTCTCGCCCCGCCCCCAAACACTCCGACCCTATGTGGTTATTTATAGCTCGGCATAGCCCCTTCCCTAACTCACCTCCTGACCCTGCTCCCCCACCGTGCTGTCGGGCCTCTCTGATCTGAGCGCCGGAATTTACCTCGACCCCCCCCTCCCGTAAGTTACCAGCCAGGAGGTCTTGGCCTTCCCCTTTGCCTGCTGGGTGGGTGGGGGCTGCAGGCCGGGGCCAGAGCAGAGGGGGTAGGTTGCTGAGGGCTCGCCTCCTCGCTGAACAGTGTGTGTTTATTGATTTTGTAAATAAGGAAAGTTACAATATGAATCTCCAAAGTACCAGCCGTGAGCATCCCCTGAGCTTCCTCTGGATGGGATGGCGACTGGGGCGTGGCTGTTGGGAGGGAGGTGACCAAGCAGGCGTGGCTTTGGGAGCTGGCAGGGAAGGAAGGCAGGAGAGAGCACTCCAACTCCTAGCACACACAGGGCACCCTTTCAGGGCACCCTTTCAGTCCCCCTGCTCGTACCGTGGCAGTTTAGGGTGAGTTGAGAGATGGATACGGAAGACAGATAATGGGAGAAGCATCAAGCGTGTCCCCTTTGCTAGCAACGTGGCTTTCGCTTTGTGTGCAAGGGCCTTGCTCATTCTGTGCCTGAATTCAGCAGATTTGCCACCCATCCCAGGCACAACCTTGGCCTCTAGCCACAGGGGCAGGGCAGCTGTCAGATTCCCCAAGAGGATGAGGAGAGGGCAAGGAGGAGGGAGAGCTGATTGGCTCTCACTGGGGGCATCCCGTCCCCCAAGGGGAGGTTCTGAGGCAGTTTTGTTTGTCACAGTGACTGAAGGCTCCTACTGGCACTTTGGGGGCTGTGATCAGGGGCGTAGAACAACCTGCCATGCACCTGTGCCCTGAATTGCCCCGCCCCCAGCTCCCCTTGGAGAAACTCTGGCAGCCTCTGTGTGGAAATCAGAGCGCGGGGAGGCAGCTGCCGTCCCCTGGCTCAGTGGGGGAATGGGCTGGGACGGCCGGCAGTCGCTGTTGCAATAGGCAAGCAATGATGGCACATGGACTCCCTACAGGGCCCTGGGCTAAGCAGGACCCAGGCATGAGTAAGACGCGGCCACACCCGGGGGGAGGTCACGGGCAGGCTGCAGAGAAGGAGTGGTGGTGGCGGCGGCGTCTGCCGGAGGTCCCCTCTGCTCCCATCCATCCTCTCATTGACTCAGGACCTGAGCCTGGTTCTCTGCTTAGTGCCATTTGCAGACCAGAAGCCTGAGGCCAAGGGTTCCGTGATGTATCCAGGTCACACAGCTGGATGTGAGAGAGCTGGGATTTGAACCCAGGGCTTACACCAAAGCCCGTGGTCTTTTCTCTTAGACCTCCTTGCCTCTAGGCTTTGGGAAGAGAGTGTATCTCTCCTGCATGTGTGAGGGATCCTCCTCCTCCCTGTAGTCATTCATGGAAGGATGCCCTGGAAATCCACCCCCGAGTTGAGTGGCCTACAGGAAAGCAAGCCAGGCAGACCGAGGATTCTCTGTGTGTAGCCCTGCAGTGGGGCGGTTGAATGTGAGCCCAGAGATGGAGAGAGAGGCTGTCGTGGGGGCCTTAGCTCTGCAGACAGCTTCTGTCAGACCACAGCTTCTCCAGGGCCATAGTTTCTACCCAGCCAGACTCAAAAGAGCCTGATGTGGAAGCCAGAGGCCAGCGTGTCTACCGCGGAGCAAGCAGCCAAGAGCTGGAGCCGGAGCAGGAGTGCCGGCTGCGAAAATCCCACCTCTGCCCCTCACCAGCCATGTGACGGTGCTGCTCGTTAATCTCCCGCAGCCTCAACATCCCCATCTGTGAAACAGCAAGGGAATGCCCAGTGCATGCTGGGGGTCTGTGTCACCACCGTTTGCAAGGTGTTTCCTCCGTGCCCTGCATCCCGCCAAGTGCGTGCAGCTGGGTCGCCTTGCTGCACCCTACGCAGAGGCGGCTGTGGCACCGTCGTTTGGCTAATAATGAAACCAAGGCACAGTGAAGTAGACCAGCTCTTTCAAGGTTGCCAGGACACGTGTGGAGAAGCAGAGGCTTAACCCAATCTCTGAGCCCAAACCGGTGCACTTTGTATCCACAGCCTTTCCTGGAGCCAGAGCATTCTCGCCTGCCTCCGAGGACCCTGCCTGGCACCCGATGCCCGCTTGGTTTCAGTGCAGGCGCTACAGGGCGGTGACCTTCTGGGCGGCCATGAGGCCCCTGACCGCTTCTCCACAGAGACCAGAGTCTCCAGGGCCTGGGCCCCCAGGGTCTGATGGTTCCCTGTCTCTCCTTGAGGAGCAAACGAATGAATTCTCTTTTGCACCCCCTTTCCTACACAGCCTCCTGTTCCCTTCAGATAGAGCACAATGCAATTGATTAGGCTTCTGCTTTCTCAATTTCAATCACATCCTCGCCCTGCCTCCCTGAGATTACAGGCGGGTCACCTTGATTGCGGTTTGCACCGTTCACAAACTCTTCAGTCGTTTACAAAACCATCTCTCGCCTCATTCACTCCCCCACCTGGCTCTTCTCTGCCATGCGTGGATTTTACTGGCTTAAGACTCAGAGGGCAATTTTATTTCCAAGTTCATGGTGGGGGAGAAGGACACCTAATTGACGGATGCTGGGTGTTTCACACGCATCGTCTAATTGGATGCTCTCAGCGAAGCAGTGCGGGAGTGTGATGGTCCCCATTTCACAAAAGAGGGAACAAAGACTCTGAGCAGCCACTACACGCACCCAAGGTCACCCAGCTGGATGGGAGAACCAGAGTCGGAGCTCAGAACGCTCATGCATCCCACCGTGCCACATCCCTTTATTCGCTGGAGCAGCGTGCGAAGGTATAACACCAGGCCAGTCAGGCTCAGGGAGCCACGGTGCAAAGGGTCCGTGCTGAGGATCCTCCTCCTAGAAGAACAAGGTCCTGTGTTGATTTTGCACACGCTTACTGATGTCTCCTGCAGGCTGGTCCTGTGGAGGAGGCAGAGCCATAAACAATCACAACGCTTTGGGGCAAGGTCATTCCGAGAGCCAAGGGAGAGTTCTTGGAATACGTGAAAGCAAAATCTGCCTGGTGAGGTAGCTAAAAGGTGAGGTCATCGCCAGCTGAGGGGACAGCACGTGCAAAGGCCCAGAGGTATGGTAGAGCAAGGCCCATTTGGGCAAGTGAGAAACATTATGCATGGGAGGGCTGAGGGTGCTGATGCGGCATGCAGGAAGGTTGGAAGGTCAGAGACAGGAAGTAGGTGGGGGAACCAAGGGATATGGCCCCTGAGTTGTGGGGAAAGGTTAAAAGACATCAGTGGTTAGGAAACAGGGCTCGTTTTGCAGGAAGCTATCCTGAGTCCCTCTGCTCCAGGACTGGCTGGATAAGTCCTCAATCCAATCCAGTAGTTGTCCCCAGGTGCAGGGTGGAAGCCTCCCTCGCTCCCTCTCGCTCCCTCCCTCCTCCATCTGTCACCCTCCCCGCCCCCCCACTCTGCCTGGATGGTCCTGCAGCGATGTCCACGCTCCCTCTAGTGGGGAACATCGGTACTACAGCCTGCACAGCGGGAAACTTTCCCCTGGGATCTTCCCGCTGCCGGTCAGGAGACGCAGCAAAGTCCCGGCTGGTGACAGGAGCTCAGGGGACAGACACAGGCAGACAATGACAATAAGGGGTGTGTGGCAGAACAACGCAGGGTCCTAACTCCGTTGGGCAGGTGGAAGTCCGGAAGGCTTCCCAGAGGAGGTATTCCTTTATTGCAGACCCTCCCCCCACCAAAAAAAAAAAGTCAGCTTTTGGTTGGTAAAGAAGCAAGAGGAGGGAGGGCATTGAGGACCAGACAGCACGAAGTGAGCTCGGAAGCTGGGAACGGGACTGTGGGGGGCGCGGGTTACACTCACACAGGGGCAATGGGAGTGCGGAGTTTGCGGGGAGGCAACAGTGGCTGAAGGCGAAGATGAAGATGGTGAGGTCTTGTCTGCCATGCACCTGCTGGGGACCCGCAGAGTTCTGAGCAAGGGCTTCACAAGGCTGCAGTCACCTTCCTGAGGGAGCTCCCTGGTGACCAACGTGGAGGCGTGATGGGAAGGGAGGACGTGGAGAGGGACGCCTCTCCGGGACACAGGTCACACTAACAGGGACACACAGTTGGACTGGGCTGTGAGTCAGGCAAGCAGGTGATGACCCTCTGATGTGTCGCGGCCAGACACCCAGACACACAAGCAGAGAGCGCACGCAGGCCCCTCGTCTGCCCAGGCACTGGCAGCCAGCGAGAACCATGAGAACCACGCACACCCTGCCGGCCTCAGGAATTCACACACACGCAGTGTGGCTGTCAAGGGCCCTCCCCTGCCCCCCTCAGCCTCCCCCAGGTCCCTCACCACCTCCGGCAGGAACAAAGCTGACCTTTGCCCTCTGGCCTCTGGCCTCCCCTCCCACACCCCCTGCCCCAGAGGGAGGAGCTGTTTGAAGTCTGGGCTGCAGCTGGGGTTTCCGGTTGCCTGGAAGAATGCGGGAGGACTGCACAGTGGAGGGAGGGGGCCGGCTGGGAGGAGGGCTGAGGAGCCTGGGGGCCTTAGGCCCCACTGTACCACAACGAGGAAGCTTCCTGCTTCTGCGGTATCTTGGGCCCTGGCTCGGACCTGTTCGCTTCCAAAGCAGAGAAAAACCAGGGCCATGGTGGCTCTGGGCCCAGGGACTTCTTCCTCCTGGAGCCCCAGCTCAGCGGTGCAGGACAGCCCAGTAGCTCTGTAGGGCTGCTTGCCTCTGGGGACGTGGCCCTCTGCAGCGCCCTCAGGTCCCCCCGAGGCAGCCCCCTAGCTACAACTTCCGTATTCAGGCAGCAGCCTGTCCCTTCCCAAGGCTCACCGCCTTCTGCCCTCTCCACGAGGCCCAGGGCCGGGCTGCAGGCTGCTGTGACCTCCCAGTTATTGTCATTATTATTATTATTATTATGACTCAATGTTTCCTCCTCATGCCCTTGCTGGTTTTCAAAGTGCGGTCACGTCCATGTGCTCAGTTAGTCTCCGCAGCTCCGCCCCCATCTTCCACGCGGGGAGACCCAGACTGAGGTGAAGGAACCAGCAGCAACAGCGGGTTCAAGAGCAGGTCTGCCTGGCTCCTCGCCTGTGCGGTCTCCAAAGCCGGGGGCCCCACAAGTTTATCTCGCGGCTCTCACGGATACTTCCCCGGATCTGGCTCTACCACCTGCTGCGTCCCATGACGCAGAAGTGGTTGGAGCCGGCTAAGCCCAGAAAGGGCTGATGCAGGCTCTTCTAGAATCCGGGTCCCCTCCCTGCAGTCAGTCGCCTTTCAGGATCCTGCCTTCCCAGCCGCCCTG